ACACATGTTGTTCGTAATACTCTTGGGCATGGTAGGCAAAAGATCTACTAGTGAGCTCAAGCTCCATTCCTTGATATTTTGATAATGTCTCTTTCATGTAGCTCATTCTTTCTTTAGAACAGTAATATAAACCAGACTGTCACAAACTCAAAATGCCCTAGCCTCAATTTCTGTATGCTGGAATGAGGTGAGCACCATCACACCCAGTACCAGTCTATTAGTTTTGAAAAGATTAAAATTTTTTATTTTTAATTATGTGTACCATATGTATGTACAACAAACATGTATTGGTGCCCTTGGAGGGCAGAAGAGATAAAATCCTTGGGAGCTGGAGTTGTAAGAGTTTGTGAGCTGCCAGATGTAAGTGATGGGAACTGGGCTCCAGTCCTTCAAAAGAGCAGCATGAACTAAACAACAGAGCCATCTTTCCAGATATATGTAATATGCACGTGTGTGTGTGTGTGTGTGTGTGTGTGTGTGTGTGTGTGTGTGTGTGTGTAGATATATTCCATATCCTGCTTTTGGAGGCACTGGAGAAGAATGGAGTTGACAGGACTTAATGAATTTTCGTACTTAGACTTTTCGACATGACCATTGGAGCAGCATGCATGATCTGCTTTTATGCAATGGGCAACCTGTCATATAAAGCTTTCTATCGGTGACTTGCTGATGCTTGTGATGGGATTTGTTTCCTACAATGAAGATCTCCACTGGCTTTGACTACCAGCCCATGTTTTCTTTCATGGATCTGTACAGTTGTGTTTAGAGAAAGGCTCTGAGCTGGACTGCTACTTCCTTTTGGTCTCATTCACAAGGAGTTTTGGAACGTGGCCCATGTGACAGAAAGGGCTTTTGATTCACAGCTCAGAAGACTTTTGCTTCTCTTTGTCTAGTGATAAATACAGGCAGGCATTCACTCCACCAGTGCTTGGCCTGCCCTACAGTGTAGCAAAACCAGTCAGACGGTGTTTAAAGTGAAGGGAATTTCATACATGTAGACAAAGGAGATCGTGCAAGGCACACATTCTTGGTTAATTTTCATGTCCATCTTCTCCAAAGAATGTGCTCTTTGTGCTGTTGAGTAAAAAAAATGACTTAAGAGAACATCAAAATTCTGAGGGGATATTCAGATATTGGAAGAAAGGAGTTTTACTGGCAAGTCTCGTTTTTTTAAGACAGCTGTGTAACCTTTAATTCACACGGACATCAACACATCGGTCAAAGGCTACTTTCCCAACACTCTGACAGCTAGAATTTTATCTCCTCACCATTAAGATTTCTCCAGAGAGCACCACACTGCATCATTTTGACAAATCTGAATGGGGGGGAGATGAGCAGTGCTCATCTTGAAAACGCTTTGGGGCGAACGCCTTTAACCAGGCTCCTGTTTCAGAGAGCATTTCCCCACCATCGCTTCAGCTCTATCAATGCTCTTTACTCCCCTTAAAAGCTACATTTTATATCAAGTGGAACTGCCCCCTCAGTGGCTCTCCCTGCTCTGGGGTCTGCTGCTACCCTGGCAGATACTCTTACTGCAGGGTCACACAGACTCAGGTGCAGCGGGAAGACTGAACAGCGAGGCTGGAAAAGAGACCCTGGGCTCCATTCACCAACCAGGGAGCCTCAGATCAGCAGCTTTCTTTGTCCTCTGGAAATCCCTTTCTCTCGCTGGCCGGGGAGAATGTCTTTATGTTTTCCTGAGGAAACACGTATGGCTGTGGAGAAAAACAACTTGTGCTTATCTGCTGAACTACCTTTGGCAGTTAGAGAATGGCTTTTTTTTTTTTTTGACGTTTTAATGAATACATTTTACAAATACACTGGAGAATCTTGCAATGCTGCCTGAACTGGATTCAATCCTGGGACACAAGTCTGCATATTCCTTTGCAACTGGACCTGTGACAGCAGAACCTTTCATTTCTCCTTTATTGTTTACTATGACCCCTGCATTGTCTTCAAAATAAAGAAACACCCTACTTTTCTTCGATATGACTTTCGTTGTCCAATTATCACTGCTGGATAGACCTTTTTCCTTAGTTCTGGTTTGCCTTTCTTAACTGTGGCCATCACCATGCCGGCCACGCCATCAGCAGGAAGTCTGTTCAGTCGTCCCTTGATGCCATTCACAGAGATGATACACAATTCTTTTGTCAGCACAGTTGATCACAGTTCCTACCAGAAGACCCAGGAAAATCTGGAGTTTCGCTCCGGAGGACCCACCCCGTCCTCGTGTCGACATCTTGGCTGCCCCAGAAAGAGTCAGAAAGTGAGAACGTCTTCTTAATTCTCAGAACAGAAAGTATATCAAATGACCAAGTATGGTGTGTGCCTATAATCTCAGCACTCACGGAGATGAAAGGAAGGTTCAAATCCAGCTATGGCTGCAGCTGGAAACCTGCAGCTGGGTGACAGGAAGAAGCCATGAGTTGTGGTGATGCACACTTGTAAACTCAGCACTTGGGAAACAGAGCCAGGTGGTCTCTGTAGGTTTGAGGCCAGTCTGATCTACATAGCAGGTTCTAGGCTAGCCAAGTCTACACAGGGTGACCATGCTTCAAACAACAAACAAACAAACACAAAAACTGCCAAAGAATTTGGTGATCTACAGAGGAGAAATGGGAAACCCAGGGGCTAGTAAGGATTATAGCTTTCGGCCAAAGATGGCCCACTACCCACTTTGATTTCATGAACTGACTTCTGAAATTCTACATGGGGATGTCTGTGTTTCACATGCCTGAAAACATGATAAAAGATTAATAGTAGTTCTACAACCCTTGAAAATCATATGGAATTCACACTTCACAATAAAACTGTGTTGCAGAGGAGGAGGCAGGCTTGGGGAGGCCTTGCTCCCTGTGTAATGTTACAGAGGGAGAAGGTCATAGGCCAGACAGCAAAGGTCTGTTGGGTTCCATGGTCTAAGCATCAGCCACGAGTTAACCTTCTTCTCTTGCCAAACTCCTAAATCTATGTATTTATTCAGGGGAGAGTGGAAAGGGCAGAAAAACTCTAGAAAACAAAACGTGGTTGTTTGTGGTGACAAGGGAGTGTCTTTTTCTCAGCTGTACATGCTCATGTAGAATTCTCATTGTGTACATCGGGAGACTTGTTTTTATTTAGTGTTATAGTAAGGCGTGGGCATTCTTAAGGATTAGGAGATAGCCTAGAAGGTTTCTCTGACTTCTGTAGATCACTTTTTGCTCCTTCCAGGGCTTGGGGTGTACAGGAAATGGCTGCCTGCCTGTCCCTTGTGGTGGCTATGCAGTGACATGCAGTGTCGGGCTTTGATCACCTTTGACCTCTCCCTTGCTCTGAGATGAAACGTGCTGTTTGTGAGTCACACACAGTGCCAAGGATACTGGCTCTTCCAGCTCAGATGCCCTGTGTATTTGTCTCAGAAAGCTCTGTGATATTTTCTATTCATAGTTGGTGACGTAGGCCTGATTTGTCTTCCCCACCCGAGAGACAGGCCTTGCAGGGATTTTATTCTCCCCCTCTCTCTTTTTAAATCAGCACAGTGTTTGGAGTACACACAATTGTCTTTTGTCTTCTATCTTAGAATGCAATTAGGTCTCAGGCGTCCCAGTCGCTTAGTGAAAAGAAATAGAAAGGAGGAATGTAAAGGTAAAAATCATGTTCCTTTGGGTCAGCTTGAGGTTCTTTTCTCTTAACTGAGTGGCAGCGACTGTGCCATATCCTGCCTAAGCCAAAGGCCTTCCTCATGCTCTACCCTACATGGTTGGTGACATGGAGAGTGAGCTTTCTTCGGAACAGGCAGGGATGGGGCAATTAGAATGATTGAATGTGTTTAAAACAGCTGGTGTGGCATCAGCTTCAGAATGGGTCAAGAGGCTGACTGTTTCCGGCAGATAAGAACACTGTGAGACGCAAGCCAGAAGGGTAGAGTTGCTAGCTGGGCAGAGAAAGTTACAGATTCCAAACATCCAAGGCCGTTTCAAAGGGCTTTCAGAAATTCCGGGGCATGCCTGGACATTCCGGTCAGAATTCCTCAGGGCTCTATTGTTCAGGCTTGCAGAGAGTTAAGGGGGCTTTTTAGATGTTTGTAATTGAGTTGTTTTCTTCAAGGGCACCGCACTGACTTTTGGGTTATAAGCGACCCTGCTCATTACCATCTCTGTGTGCTCACCAGTGAGAGTTCTGGTTGTGAGTCTGAAGTGTTGTTGAGTGGACTTGCTCCTGATCGTTTCTGTTGCTGACTCCACTGGGGCCTGGCATACTTTAGTTTAGCAATGACAGACATTGCATTTCTATCCCGTGGCTGAGATCCAAACAACTTGAGTGACATTTTAATAAATATCATCTATGAACACACACTTGCAGAAGTGACATTTACTTAAAAGATGCCTCATGAGGTGATGTGTGACTGTGTGATCCTTTTCCAAGAACACTGCTGTGCTTGCATGCTTCCTACCAGAAAAGAAAAACAGAAACAAAAACATTTCTTTCTCATGTTTCCCTTGTTTGGAGACTCCGGTAATTGATACAAAGCATCCAATTTCTCTTTTAATTTTGTGACTTCTAAAAATTCCCCCCACCCCCAGCATCCTTGTGTAGCCTCCAAAAATCAGACAGCTGTTATTACAAACAGAGGCCGCTCTGCTCACACCCTAAATAGACAACTATAAATGTCTGGATTCTTTCCTTGTGGTGGCTGCTTTTAGACGTTGAATAAAACCATACTACCAGAGGAGGCTTGAGCGGTGGTTAGTCGTCTGTTCCTGCCACATCCATAAATTTTGTTAAATTTTCTCTTCATTGTTTATAATAACTTTGCACTTCATAAGACTTATAACTGAATATCGTTGTTATAAAAATATCAAAACTTGGGAAAGTAAGGGAGCATGGAATTTGTCTTATCTCTGTCCCACGTTGCATGGGTGAGAGTGAGGGTGTGGCGGAGTGAGTGACCTTCCCAAGGACACTTGTCTACCCAATAGGGCAGCATGCTGAGTCAACTATTTGCTTTTCTGATTCTGTAGATGGCCGACCTCGTCCTATTGTTCTTTGGGACTCCTCTCTAGCATCCGCAAGCAACGATAGCCATTCTTCTGTTAAGATCACCTGGAGAACGTATCAGCAGTCGCTAAAACAGAAGTGCTGGCTGAATGGCCGGGTTCCCAGACCTGAGTGGGGCTGCACTGAAATCCATCACCACGAGTGGTCCAAGATGGCTCTCTTCGATTTTTTGTTACAGGTAAGTTTATCCAGTTCCCTAAGTGGTTGCCTAAGATTGATGGTGTCATCAGGTCTCAGAGGAATCTCCAGCATCTGGAGTTTCTATGAAGTTGCAGTTTAAGCTCTAGAGTGCTGTATTTGGCCAAGTACAACATGCATACTATGAAATTTTATATTCTTCTGGTAGAAGTATTTTTCCTGACCCATTCTGCAGCCATTCAGTCCCAAATAAACACACAGAGGCTTATATTAATTATAAACTGTTTGGGCTATTGCCCAGTCTTATTACTAACAAACTCTTACAACTTAAGGTAACCCATAATTCTTATCCATGGTTAGCCACATGGCCTGGTACTTTTCCTCAGTAAGGCATTCTCATCTTTTTTCCTCTGTGTCTGGCTGGCAACTGCGTCTAGAATTCCCAGAATTGTCCTAATCTGGTAGTCCCACCTATACCTCCTGCCTGGCTATTGGCCAGTCAGCTTTTTATTAAGCCAATGTGAGTGACAAATCTTCACAGTGAACATTATCCTATACCGGAGATCATGGATATCCTTTTAAAAATGACTTTCTGAAGAAGTAACCTACTGGCTGCCCTGCAATTTGCCCACTCATCGGTCATAGCTACAATGCCTTGAGCCATGGCGGTGTGTTTTACCATATTCTCAAGGCCAGCTGAAGTTGGGTGAGGATGGCTATCTCATTCAAGTTCTAACAATACTGAGAACACATACATACATATACACCACGCTCACTATATTAGGAAAGTAGTAAGAAGTACTTATCTCTGCTCTCCCCAAATTTTTTTGTGTTTGCTTTCTTTGGAAGTGGAATTGTTAGGAAACTAACTAAAGCCAGAGCCGCATCAGAATTTCTGGCTGAATGTTAGTTCTGATTGTTCTGAGGTCAGAAGAGGGAGAACATGTGCCACTAAGTAATGACAAGAAATCGTCTGAGTAGAAGTAAAAATAGGAGGCCGTAGAAAATCATGAGAGGAACATGGATATGGTGATGCTTTATGGTAATTAATCATCTTAAATATGCCATTTAAAGTGGAGCCTTTGTCTAAGCAAGTACTGGGGCTTCCTGCCTGCGGACATAGGAAGTAACAAAAGGGAAGGACTCATTTTCACAAGTATGTGTGGACTGTGTCACCCTATTGCTCATTACCCTAAGTGGTCAGAACAAAGTCCAGCTGCTCCAGTTTCCTTCTGAGGGCAGTGGCAGCTTTGACCCCCACAGGGCATTGTTGGCTGTCTTGATGAATGTGAGCATATGAAATCATTGCTGTGAATTACAAACATGCATACATATCCCATACACCTTGAAATAATATGATTAACTTCCCACTTGTGGAACGCTTATACTGTGCCAGCATGGCTCTAGGCACCCTGGTTCTAAGCACTAAGATAAGAAGTTATGAACTAAGTACGATTGTTATTCATAGTTTAGAGATGAGGGAGCTGAGGCAAGCATAAGTCTATTCATCTTGCCCATCTTGCCAGAGTCACATGGGCAATGTTCACTAGTCCCCGGAGTCAGACTACGAATTCTGCCTTAAGAATCAAGCCTCCAACAACTGTTAACTTCATCCCTTGTACAGAAAATAGTACCATCTTCAGTCACTCTTCCAAGTGGAAAATTGAGAAGCCAGCTGTGTGCTTCTGTGAGGGCCATACCCATAGTGACCTAGTCTTGATGTCTCTTGATTTGCTTTCTTGAAGGAATCATTCACTGGCTCCTGTCTTAGCTCAATTCTTTGTCCTTTCTTACTTAGATGACTCCCTTTAACCCCTTCAAACTTATGGTAAAGGTTGCGGGTCTGCAGGTCTGTGGGGTAGTTAGTCTATGCTGTTGCTCCCTCTGCCTGTGGTAGGAAGGTTTTCCTCCTTGATAATTCAAGAGGAAGAAGTTTGGGCAAGGCTTTTCCAGAACTTGATCAAATCAGTATATCAACTGGGAGATCCTTACTCTGGTTTATAAGTCTAAAACTCAGTTTTAAGTCTAAAACTCAAAAAGTGTATTTATTAATCATCAATTTAACTAGTATTTGCAAATACACACACACACACACACATATATATATACATATATATGCATATGGAATCTGTTGGGAGGGCTTATTTTTTGTTTTTCATTATTTATTTCTAACAGTGAAGAGACAAGAAGCTAATTTTCTTTAGATAGTGCATCATTTTACCATTTTATGTGTCAGGTCTGATAGTACCAGCTTCCATCTTCTTTTCTATTGTGGGAAGTAGAAGGCACTGTGATGTTTCTGTTAATCAGATGGAGGGTGAAGAGCTCTTATTTGAATTTTTGAGTTTTATATTATATATGAGATCGAGGATATTATATAATTCAGTTATTTAGTTTGGTTTCACTAACTCTCTTGTTTAAATGCCATCTTATAACTTTCCTTATTGACTAAACTTTGACTATTGTGAAAAGAAGCCCTTATTAATGTCTGCACCTGCCAGCTTCGTGAGACATGAACAAAGAGCTGAGACAATCAACTTGTGAACAGCAAAGACACCGTGGTTCACAGTTTTTAACACTTCAGGCTGTCATTGGTTGGCCCCATTACTTTGTGTGATAGATTGTGGTGAAGCAAACAGGTTTGTGTCATGGATAATAAACAAATGACAAAGAACAGAGGGGCCAGACTCCCACAACTTCTGGTTTATGTTTCCTCAAGAGAGATGAATGAACATTTGTCACCTGTGATATGTCATAGAACTGATTCATCCAAATCAAGCTTGGTGAATAGTGCTTAGTGACCTTATAGGCAAATGGGGTGATGGTGGTCACTTTCAATGGTGACAAATAATACTACATCACCAAAAAGTGCCATCTCTTCATGGGTAGAACCTCATGGTAGTAGAATTGTGAAGTTCAGCCTTCAGTTATGTGTTTACTTCTTATATATTCTAGTGCCTCTCAAGATCATATATGCAGCTTGGGCGCACAAGCAGGTAATGACAATGTCCTTTTACTTTCCCTGGGGAGACATGAACAAATTCTGTTCATCCCATCTAGGGCATCAATGACAGAGTGCAGGAACAGTTTTACCCAAGTCTAGCATTGCAAATTAATGATTCATTGGGGTCACTTACAGATGCATGGATGAAGCATTAAAGGAACATGTATGATACAAGGCAGTTGTATCACTGAAAAGCCCAGTCTAGGATGCTAGGACTCATGAAAACTGCATCCCTGAAGCCCCATGTATGACTTGTAGGTGACATGTATGTAGTTCCCCACACAGAAGATTCTCTCTTCTTTCTTTAGCACTATTCACATGACCTCAGGGAGAGGCCTTGTGATACCTACTTTTCCTGAGTATCTTGGGTCTCATTAACGTTCCAATCCTTTCCCATTCTCCACAGGAGTGAATGTTACAATTTAGAGGAGATATTTGCCTAATAATGAGTCCTTCCTTCAGCTCTCCCACCCTTTCTGCCACCTTTTTGTGATATTCCCTGAACTTTAGTGGGGATAATGTAAATGTCTTGGTATTTTCTTCTAATTATAGCTAAGCATTAGGTCACTATACATAGAAAGAGTCACGTATTCTCAGAAGTCTGACCAGGTATGAGTCACAGTATCAACCACTCATAGCAACAAAAAGAAGTTTCCCCCCCAAGTCAAACCTGACAGCAGCAGGTGTAAGCATAAATATTTAGAAGACAATTTGACAGGCATGCTATGTCCTTTTAACTAAACAATAACACTGGGGCCTCTCAGCTCTCCAGCCACAGATCCTTGTCTTGGTTAGTTTACAGTACTAACATGAGTTCCCTTCTCTGGAGATAGTCTTAGGTCCAATTGAAAAGCAGTTGATTGAACCTACAACAGGTATGCCACATTTTGCTTGGTATGTTGGTAGTGTAGTATGTAGAGTCCATAACTCAGCATGGATTTTGGTGACAATTCTCGCCATAGGACCAGCATAGGACTTTCCAGTACTTTAAAAGTCAGGTAATACAAAAGGAGCTTCTATCTTAGTTTCATCTTGAGTTTTCAATATTCTAAAAACAAAGTGTGCAATGTCTTCGACAATAGGGACATACTTTGTAGGTCTGGCATTAACCAACAGCAGGAATAACAGACTTGGTGGTTTGTGAGAATCCAGGGGCCTCAGCAGCCAATAGTTCACAGGTCTATGTCATACTTAGATGTAACTGTCAACTTCGCCCAGCTTAGGATCACATGCAAAGAGTCTCAGTTGAATAACTTTCTTTATCAGAAGGTCTGTGGGCTTGTCTGTGAGGGATTGTCCTGATTGTTAATGCATGTAAGGTGGTCCTGGTTTAAGAACACTAAGTCTGAGCCTGAGAGGGAGCCATAGCGTAAGCTGGCAAGCACCATAGTTCCTGTGTTGAGTTCTTGCCTTGACTTTTCCCGGTGACAGATTGTGACCTGGAAGGGTAAGATGAAACATACCCTTTCCTCTACTAAGTTGCTTTTTGCCAGGGTTTTATCATAGCAGTAGAGACGTAACTAGAATAGGAGGTAACCTATTCCTGGGAGCAAGGTTTTTATTTAATAACATGGATTCTTCGAGTGCCGTTCCCCACTCAAACAGAGTGACTTCACTCAGAATCTTTAACATCTGTTTTCACTTTCCCTTTAGATGTGTTTCCAAATTTGTAGCATACCCAAGACACTCAAAGGCATTACGTAATGAAACCTTTTTATAGAGGGCAGGATGTCTTAAGGCTTACTATTGTCCACTTTAAGGAAGTGCCAATTGGTTTTTGGATTTAGCAGCTGAAGTTAGACTTTTCAAAATTAGGGAGGACCTTTAAAAAAGCATTAAAGGATCTTACCATGTGTATCAATTGTTTCATATAAAGAGCAATGTTGAATGGAGTGGAATGGATGGGAGGCATGACCATATTTAGCCTTCTTCAATATGCTTGTTCTCCACTAGCTGCCCTTGCTTTTTCATCCCTGGGCACTACTGTTTGACCTGTATGCATCTCTCCTCCCTAGATGGTTTCCACTGGGCTGCCT